ACTGACTGTCCGGTCGTCTTCTCCTGTCCGCGGTCTGTCGGCGGTGAATCATCACCACCACTGACTATCAGTCCTGCCCGTGAAGTGTGAACGGCTGCAGCTTCCTCACTTTGCGACACCGTGAGTTTTCTGCCCATCCATTTTCTTTTTTGTTTTGTTTTTGTTTTTGTTTTTGGTGTTATTTTCTATTTATGAGTTATGAAATCATGATTTATGATAGTTTTCAGTGTTGTTTCATGTATGGTTTATGAATTGGAATTGGGGGAATTGGATTTGGAATTGGAATCGGGGGAATTGGAAATTTGGATTTGGAATTGGATTTATGAATGTTGGCACTTTTCACTTCTATATGTTGAGTAATTTTTAATATTATTTAATTAAACATTAATAAACGATCTTACTCTTACTATCGATTTTCGGCGGCTGAACTTCAATGTCCGCCACTGCTTATGATCCCCAGTGTATTTATACATTTATTCTTTTTTCAAACTTTGGGTGTTTGTATGTGCATAAATTGTTGGGTTGACGTTACTTATGATTTGCAGATTGGAAAATGCTGGGCTCATTGCCGATACTGCCTCTCCCAGCACCACCCTCTGATGGGAATCTTGGCCCAACACCCCCGGCTCAGGTAATAGAGGAATCTAAAGATGAAGAGATGAATGGGGACAAGACCGATGATAATGATGTATCCAACTCTCTTCCAACAACAGTTAAAACCCACACTAAGACTATTGGAATCATATATCCACCCCCTGATATCAGAAACATTGTAGATAAAACCACACAATTTGTGGTGAAGAATGGGCCTGAGTTTGAGAAAAGAATCATTGCCAACAATGAAGGCAATGCTAAATTCAACTTCTTACATGCCTCTGATCCTTACCATGCTTACTATCAGCATCGGTTATCTGAAGCTCGGGCACAAAATCAAACTTCTACCCAGCAGCAGCCATCGGAGCTTGCTGATTTGTCAGCTCCTGAGTCTGCTGCTACTGCTCCGGCTGCTGATGTCAGTGATGCCTCTGCAAAGCTTGATCCGTCGGCTCAGTTTAGGCCTGTCCGAAAGGTTCTCGAGCCACCAGAAGCGGAGCAGTACACTGTTCGACTTCCTGAAGGGATTACAGGGGAGGAACTGGATATAATTAAGCTCACTGCTCAGTTTGTGGCTCGGAACGGGAAGTCTTTTTTGACAGGTTTGACAAGCAGGGAGATCAACAATCCTCAGTTCCATTTTCTGAAGCCAACCCACAGTATGTTCATGTTCTTCACATCACTTGCTGATGCGTATTCCAAAGTATTGATGCCTCCCAAAGGATATACTGACAAGCTGAGAAATAGTGTTGCTGATATGACGACCGTCCTGGAACGCTGCTTGCATAGGCTTGAATGGGAACGGTCACAAGAGCAGGCGAGGCAGAAAGCTGAAGACGAGATTGAGCAGGAGCGGCTGCAGATGGCGATGATTGATTGGCATGATTTTGTCGTTGTTGAGACTATAGACTTTGCAGATGACGAGGATGAGGATTTACCCCCTCCAATGACACTCGAGGAAGTTATAAGGAGGAGCAAGATATCGACTATGGAAGAAGAAGAGATTGTTGAGCCTGGAAAGGAAGTAGAAATGGAGATGGATGAAGAAGAGGTCCAGCTCGTTGAGGAGGGTATGAGGGCTGCTAGTCTTGAAGAGAATGGTGACATGAATAACAATGGAGCCAAACTAACTCCCGAAGAACAGGAACCACCTATGAGAATTGTGAAAAATTGGAAGAGGCCTGAAGAGAGAATCCCTGCAGAAAGAGACCCAACTAAATATGGAGTCTCTCCGATAACCGGTGAGCTGATTCCCATCAATGAGATGTCTGAACATATGAGGATCTCTCTTATTGATCCTAAGTACAAGGAGCAGAAAGAAAGAATGTTTGCCAAGATTAGAGAGACTACTCTTGCAGCTGATGATGAAATTTCCAGAAACATCGTGGGACTTGCACGAACACGTCCTGATATTTTTGGTACTACGGAAGAAGAAGTTTCTAATGCTGTGAAGGCGGAGATTGAGAAGAAGAAAGACGAACAACCAAAGCAGGTCATATGGGATGGTCATACAGGAAGCATTGGTCGCACAGCAAGCCAGGCCATGTCTCAGAATACCGCTGGGGATGACCAAAATGATCCTGCAAATAACGATGCGAGAAACCTTCCTGGTCCAGCACCTCCACCTCCTAGACCTGGTATGCCAACAATTAGGCCTCTTCCTCCGCCTCCTGGGCTTGTTTTAAATATTCCTAGGCCTCCAAGTACTGTCCAGTATCCGACCACTTCAAATGCTGGGGTAATTGCACCGCCACCTCCAAGGCTGCCAGTTGTCAACATGATTCCTTCTGTCCGGCCTCCACCTCCTCCAATGTCAATGATGCACGGCCAACCTCTAATGGTAAATCGACCGCCAATGCCTCCGTCGATGCCCCTAAATTCGCCTGGTGTCCCTGTTCCACCACCACCTGGATCTCAGTTTACGCCTCTGGGAGGTCTCAGACCTTTTGTTCCCCATCCCATGTCCCAACCTGGCATGCACATGGTTCCACCGCCACCTATGCCGCAAGGAATGCCTCCACCACCTCCCCCTGAGGAGGCTCCTCCACCGCTTCCAGAAGAACCAGAGCCCAAGAGGCAAAAGCTTGATGACTCTATGCTCCTCCCCGAAGAACAGTTCCTGGCCCAGCATGCGGTATGGACCATCTTTGCTTTCTCTCCTACAATGCTTTTTCATATTTTTACTCTCTACTCCTTTCATGACACTGTCAGTTACTATCTTTACATTTTTTAGCTTTTTTAATTAGTGCATTGTGATTACTGATTATTTGAGCTGTCTGCAGGGTCCTTCTTGCATCAATATATCTGTGCCGAATGTTGATGAAGGGAATCTCAAAGGACAAGTGTTGGGGATTACTGTAGGATCCCTATCTGAAACAGTTGGCAGTCTGAAAGAGAAAATTGCTGGTGAGATCCAGCTTCCTGCAAACAAACAGAAGCTGAGTGGAAAGGCTGGTTTTCTGAAGGACAACTTATCACTTGCGTATTACAATGTTGCCCCAGGAGACTCCCTGTCCCTTTCTCTCAGGGAACGTGGTGGTAGAAAGAGATAAACCACATGATTTGGCGAGCCCTTTAAAAGGTTCATATAGGAAGCTGTGGTGTTACAATGAATATTATTATTGTTATCCTTTAGGACACTTTTTTTCCATCCTTCTTTATGATCACTCCAGCTATTATTTTGGTACTGTACTTTTTAAATGTTTTGGAACTTTAAACTGATTATTGTATGGTATCTACTACAGATCCAGCATCTTGGCGATCATCTCTTGAGGGTAATGTGAAGTTGACTTGTTTTATTTTAGTGAACATCTCGAGTTTGATATTTGTTATACTAATTGATGTTTTGTGCTTACCTGTGCAGTTGCTCCTTCGCTAACTTGTGCTAGTAGTAGTTGTGACCTCTGTTATTCACGTCTTGTTATTGAGTGGGACTATTGTTTTATAGATGTTATACCCCAGATTCTGACCTCTTTTTTCGTGAGTTCTGTTATAGGAAAGGAAGAAATGAAGGTCCTACTCCTTTGGATATAGATTTTGTTTTCCAGAGGATATGGTTGAATTTGAAGCCAAATCTTTAGCATGTTTCGTGCAACTAATTTTCATATTCACTTATCTTTTATGTTGGTGCTTAGCTTAAGGCTTTCTAATGTCAGTTTTATTTGAAATTTATTTACTGCAAATTAGCTTTTAACATGAAGTGATCGAGGTTGCCTCTGATACCTTTTATTTCTCATTACAGAAGTCTGCTCTAGACATTTTTCTATTGCAAGTCCACCGGTCTTGATCAGTTGAATCAGGTAGAATATTTTTTTTTTGACCTTTTTGTCCATCCTGATATTCTGTTCCTTTTATTGCTTTTTTGAGGATTTCACTGTTTATCCACTTTAACTGTCCTCTCTGCCTCGAACTGATAGTTGACTTAGTGGTGGCAAACGAGCCATGTTTCAAAAATGAGATTTGGCGAGAGTCCGGGCCAGCCCTGGAGCTGCACAAACCCAAATACGAGCCGGCCCATAGGGTGGGTCGTGTGGCCCTTCTTTTTGAACCACTTGTATAATAAATTTTTATTAATTTGTAAATTAATGATCACTTAGTATGTAAAACTCAACAACTTGCATAATTACTTTTGTAGTTAGTAAATTTAAGTTCAATTTTTCGTATATTCAAGTAAAAAAATAAAGGAAAAATTCATGAGCCGACTATGCTCCACGAAGTCTCAAGCCCAACTTTGGGTCAAGCCCCATTTTTAGGGGACAAGTCAAGCTCGGGCTTGTCTTGAGCCCAAAAACTCAAGCCTTTTTTTACGAGTCGATATTGAGTCATGAGATTGGGATCACAAGCCGGTTCGGCTAAACTCGTTGCCACCGTCAAGTTAACTATATTGCTCTTAAAGTTTGTAGTAAGTAGGTTTTTATAGAAGAAAATGATAGTTTGTTAATATTGTCGGAATGGTGACCTGGTCAAGGCACTCGATGATGATGTCGTTGCAGCAAAACGTCATGGGGAACAAGCAGTTCACAGAACTGTGCATGATTTGAATACAGAAAAATCTGGAAATACTTTGTTACCCCTTTCCCCCTTCCCATTTCAGAAATGTCATCAGCTTGGAATAAAGTGTAAATTACGCTAATGAAACTTTTATTGTATCCATGATTAAATAAAAATCATGTGTTACATGTCGGTCAGAGGTTAAATGACCATTGATCACTAAACTTTTATAATGTTTAGGATTTGGACGTTAAAATGTCAGATTCGTTATAGAACTTATCGATGAGGAATGATTTTTGATCTATTTTAAATTTGACTCGGAAAGGGAAGAGAGGGAAAATGCAATGTATTAACACTCCAAACCAATATAGAAGAACACCAATCCTGTTAGCATCACTTGCAAACTAAAGGAGAAAAAGAAGAATGTAAGCACTAGTCGTGCTTCAATACTAATTAAGTGGTATAGACCAATTATATGTAGGAATATGAGACCCTTAGGCCTATTATTTTAGTGTTATTTAGCCTGTTTGATGGACCATTATCTGAAAAAAAGAATGTTTTGAATAGTAATTTTTAAAAGAAGGTATGGTTAAAAAGCATGAAAAAGTTTTGGGTTTACCTGCAGAATATTTTAATGTGTGAATGTGATTGAAAATGAGTATGTTAAAAGGAAAAAAAAAAGAAAGAAAGAATTTTTAAATAATGATTGTTAAACAATGTCACACAGACAGATATTTTAATACCATTGTTGCTAAGTAGCTCTAGTCTGGGAAGAAGAATCTTAAAAATTTATTGCATCTTATGATATACATAGAATATTGAAATTTGAAATTGAAGCTTTCAACTTTGTATGATACTCAGTTTTTCCAGTCTTTCAAGAAATTGAGCCACATATTCTGCATACATACTTAGGCCCCGTTTGGGAGGAATTCTTAAAATTTTACAGTAAATCAATTCTCATTTTCAACCACACATTCTTCAATAAAATAATATTTTCCATCACATCAATAATTTTTTCTTCTTTTTCAACCATACATTTCTCATTATATCACTATTCAAAATTAATTCTTCTCCCAAAAATCCATCCCAAACAAGCACTTACTTTGGCTTTCTCAAATTTCTGAATAATTATTTTCGCGCAGTCACGAATTCATATTTAACTAATTAATTAGTTAGTTGATTATAAATGCTAAACAAACACAAATAAATTACTCTAACAAGTCTGCCAATTAATAATTAACCAAGAGATGAGATCCAAATCTAACAAAACGTGTTTACTATAAATATATATAGTTATAGGCCGTGGTCGGATGCGTCAAATGCAAGTTTTGGAAAGAAAGAGAGAACACTATAATTTAGTGAAAAGGTAGAATAACACTTTGTTAAATCTTCAAAAAATGATAACCCTTCACATCAAAGGTGAGGACTGAGGAGCGACAACGTAAAGCTCCATATTTGGTACGAATTCAAATTCAAATTTTAATCTAAGTCAAGTCGACAATTAATTTTAACCACATTATATAGGACCACACAAAACATTAAATCAAAATCTACTTATAATCTTATTTTAATCAATACCAAACAGGGGCTAAATATATACGTGTGTAGTTAATTTTTATTAAAAAGGTGCAGGGTGGGTTAGGAAAAGGTGAAAGGAGTATATTAAAGAGATCAGATCATTACCAGCAATGAAACTTTTGTAATTGCACTTGTCTTATGGTCTGCTCCAATATTTGATGATCATCGAATAAATTCTTCCTCTTTTCCAGCATGTGAATGCCCTACATACATACATACTAACATTAATTTATTCATTTTAACCACAGTAAAAAAAAGTTAACTTCTTTAATTAATTGATTGATTGATTATTTATCTCTATCTCTCCTGGCCAGGTCAAAATCAAATCCGTGAGCAAAGAAAATGCATTGATTTGAAAGCAATAGTTTTCATAAATGTTGGGTTTGATACTGATATACTACAACTAACGTCAATAAGCAGACTCTATTTAATTCGCTTTTTCTTTTTGTGTTTCAAAAAATCAGCAAAATTAATTTCATTTAGTTTGTAGAAGATTATAATTAATTAATTGATTGTAGTCGATGTTCTAAAAAGGTCGAGTTTGTTAAAGCGGTCTAGGGTTTTATGCGTTAATTTCGATGTGCGTGACACCCATTTTGGAGAAGAATTTGATTTGGAATAGTGATTGATGGAAGAATGTGTAGTTAAAAAGTGAGGAGAATTTTTGGGTTTATGTGTAATATTATTTTATTGATAAAATGTGTGGTTAAAATGAAGAAATAGAAAAAAAAATGAGAAAAAAATGGATGTCAAACAAATGCTAATTAATTATTAATTTCGATGTTTAAGAGACGTGGAATTATATCATTGACATGTTTTCGTAAGATGGTACTTGTTTGATTGAGAATATCAATCTTGAATTTCATTTTTTCATTTAAGCTTTATAAGGATTGAATTGTTCATTTGAACTCTTTGAGTTCTGATATCTTAGATGATATATGAATTTCATCTTAAAAAAATCAATCTTATTATAAAAATAATAGTTCGAATTTTGAGTGTATCCTTAACATCACTAATTTGGTATGAGATTGGGACTCCCATTATTAAGGGTAAGCGAAAACGGGGTTTGTATATTTTTTTCCTCACTCCATTTTGCTTTGGAGAATCTTGTATGGTAAATTTCCAATGGATGTGGCCTTGCGGAGTCGAGGTTTCACTTGTCCTTAGCTATGTCGCGGTGCAATGGAGACTTCACATCACTTATTTCTAATATGTGTCCTTTTGTCGTGGCGTCGTGAATTGTTCTATTGTCTGTGTTTGGGCTGGTATTATTCTTGACCTTTGTTAGGCTATGATGAGAGGTTCTTTTAGCTCGCAACTTCGGGCTCTTTGGAGAGCTTCCATTGCTTCAGTCTTTTGATCAACTTTTGCATTGGGACGTAGCACTTCTTTGGTTATATATCATATAGGCACATATTTTGCACATGGGCACTATAGTAAGCTTGATGGATGAGTGGTTGATCTTGTGCAGACTCTACCTCCTAGATTGGCCTCCTTTAAACTAAAATTAGTTAAATTAAGTATTATAGAATATCGCCAATCCTTAACTTTTCGAGGAATCATTTTGGCGTCCTCCTCTCCCTTGCTGACCTAATGTCAATACTGATGGATCGACTTTTGGGATTCCATGACTTGCTGATTGTGATGGAGTTTTCCACACTTACAGGGCTTCATTATAGGTGTTTCTCTTTCACCCAAGTGTTTGCAATGTCTTCGTGGTTGCACTCGACAATGATAACTTTTCCATTGACTATGATTGGACCTATTGCTGAAGAAAATATTGGTTGGAGAGTGATTCAATTTACAATCTTGCTACATGTACATCCCGGTTTACACTCCGACTTACCGAATTTACACTGACACAATCTCACGCCACTTTTCGCATCTCACATATTTAATCCAACGATTATAATACTTTCACGTCATCAATATGTCAAGAGAGGTGTACAAATAGCTTAATCCTTCAATTTATTTGGTAACTATACTGTGTTCTTGATCAATCTCTTTGTAGGCTTCCTCGAATGGACAATGTGGTTGCTCATATCTATCATGAGATAAATAGGGTGGTGAATTATTGGCGTCTATGCCCATAACATCATCTCTTCTACCTGATAATGGACAAATCCTAATTTTATTTCCTCCTCAGTTCTGGAGGATATCTGTTACAAACCTTGTTACCGACTTTGTTGATTTTTATTTTCAACAACCTTGTGGAAAAAAAAAATAAATAAATAAATAGAATTTGACGTCGCATTACAAACCTTTGATTAAAGAATACATGGAGTGGTGAAGTCTAAAGGATAATTATATTCACACAGTGTTTTTGTTAACGGCACGTTTTAAAGCCTGTATGAGCCTCATTTTTTGTCCAAAATTTTAGAATAGTATTTTGATGGAGAATATGTAGTTTAAAAAAAAAAGAAAAAATTTTGGATTTGCATATAATATTATTTTATTGAAAAATGTGATTGAAAATAAGGGAGAGAAATATAGTTTTTGAAAATAATGGAGACTAAGCAAGGGCTTAATTACAACGATGGTTCCTATTTTTTTGCTCATTTTAGGTCATTTGTCATCAACTTTTTTTCAACGCATTCTTATTTTTAACCTTTAATTAATTGCTGCATCTTATCTTTGATGACGATTTTTGTCCAACATTTCGTTAGCATGGAGAAATTTTTATATCCAAATTTTTTATATATAATTTATCTTTGCTTATTTATAAATATGTGGGAACAAATAAGACTATTAATAACTGTCATCAAAAGCGACGTGTGCTAATTAATAGAAAGTTAAAAATAAAAATACAACAAAAAAGTTGGGAACATTACTATGAACATGAGCAAAATGGAGAACCTTCGTTATAATTAAAATTTAATACATTTAGCTCATATTTGGTGTAGTTAAAAATTAGATTTTTTAATACATTTTGATAAAAATTGGTGAAATGTGTAGTGAAGTGTAGATGAAAGTTATGAATTCTATGAAATGTGTAATAAAAATTAATCGTTAAATTTAACTTAGATTTTTATTAACTTTTTAAGTTACACCAAATAGGAACTTAACAAAAAAGGAAGGTTTGTATCCAAAGTTTTGAGAATAAATAAATAAATGTAAGGAAGACGGAAGGTTTTAAGCTTGAGTCTATGGGGACGCAAAAGAAATCACTGTTGAGGCCCAACCCCAGTGGATAGTACATATGCGTGCCATACGGGTCAAATCCACATGGACCATGTCACTACCTGAGGCCAAATCTGGTGATCGGTCGAATTCCGAACTTTATATATTTTTTACTAGCTTAAATTCAACAATTCTCTATAAATCAACCCTATTAAGAGCATGTTTGGCAAAGCACAACTTGATCCAACATACTTTTTATCTAAATGAAATATTCATATGATTTACAATTTACTATCTCGTGTTATCCACGCATTCCGTAAGACTCTTGACCAAGGGCGGAGCCCAATGAAGTCCAGTGTGGGCATAGGCCCACACTGAACTTCTGGACCAAACCTTATGGCCCGGATTTTTTTTATTAATATGCTAACTTCCAACCCAATGGTA